TTGAGGAAGGCACATTCTGCATGGAGCACTGGGTGTTATGCACAAACAATGAATCATGGAACACTACATCTAAAACTAATGATGTAATGTATGGGGATAATATAAGAATAAAAAAAAAAAGAATTTGGCTGTGAAAGTAGGGGGAGAAGTAGGGTGGTAGCTGGAGGGAGATGTAAGGTTCAGGAAGATTTTTTTTTTTCTTTAAGCTAGGAACATCTAGGTCATTAGAGATTTAGCTAAGGAACCAAGAGGTAGTAGCCAAGAGTGGGCAAGTCTGGCCAAAAGCTCATTCCTCAGTAATGAAGCCAAAGGACCAGGAGGTTTGTAAGTGGCAGCAGTGAAGAAGAGGTGAAGGTGAACTACCTAGATGACACAAGCTTCAAAGGAGGAAGGGTTTTGCAAGATGCAGGAGGAGCAAAGGTCTGCAAGTTACAATGGGAAACAAGAAGGACTCCAGGCCTACCCTCTTGCCCTGGTGTACCTGGGGTGGGGGAGAATGAGCAGCCACTGAGTTTGCAGTTCTTGAACTCATGCTCTGCAGGCACTATGGGAACACAATGTTAAATAAGACATGGCCTCATCCTCAAGGAGCTCACTATCTAGTAGAGAAGAAGAGAAGCACACATGAAATGCCAGAACTTAAGACTGACTACAAAGGCTGTGGGAGGAGAGAGGAAATAGGCAATGTGGTGTGATGTGATTAGGTGATTAGGGAGATCACCCTGGAAGGAGTAGGGCTTAAAAATGGATCACTCAGGATGATTGGGATTTGGATAGCCAAGAGATGCGATGGGAAGAGCTTGCAAATGGTGCACCAGTGAGGAAAAAGTGCCTGGTGACTTCAAGGGGGTGGGAAAGGCAACAAGGACTTGAATTGAGGCATTGAAGGAGAATCAACTAAGAATAAGATTTTGGAAGGAGTAAGGACAGGACTTGGCTTCTGTTTGGATGTGGTGTGAGGAAGATAAGAGACAGATTTTAGAAAGCCATCTGTGGAGAAGGTAGCCTCTCCAGATGCCTCTTGTAGGTTGGCCAGAAAGGCCCTGATGGACCATCTCTTGTTTTCTCAGAGCAAGTACCAGGGCTTTGTCTTTGACATTGTGATCAGGCAAGCTTTTGACATTATCATCATGGTCGTCATCTGCCTCAACATGATCACCATGATGGTGGAGACTGATGAGCAGTGTGAAGACAAAAATCCTTAACAAAATCAGTCAGTTCTTTGTGGCTGTCTTCACGGGTGAGTATGTCATGAAGTTGTTCGCCTTGCGGCATCACTACTTCACCAACGGCCGGAATGTGTTTGACTTCATTGTCGTGGTCCTCTCCATTTGGAGTAAGTGGGCTCGCAGGTAGTGGGGAAGCCCAGACTCTGCTTGGGGTTGTTTGGGCTGTTTTTTTTTTTTTTTTTCAAAACCAAGAGGGCAACCAACAAACTTTTTCAATATACATTATATGTTAGAGGAGCCCACTATTTGCTGCTTTCCAAGAGCAGCAGATTTAAAATGCCCCTGTCCTCTCTGTGAAATGGAGAGTTTCCATTGGCCTTCTCCATGTTGTCACAAAGTGTTTTTAGACACCTACTGTGTGCATAGCCCATTGCCTGAACTTTGGGGCCGATGGGGACAGTCAGTCACTCCTCCAGAGAATATAAGATGATGGAACTTCCAGTGGGCCTTATCTTGATGGTCTTCAAAGAGGAGAATGGGTGGTATGATGTGAGGTGAGTCAGTAAATACTTTCTGGAAAAGGAGGTGGTTGCCAGAAGAGTGAGCAAAGACTAAGAGTGTTCAAAGGAAATTCTTAAGTCAAGGATCTGCAGTTAAATCTTTATATAACTGTCTGCTTAGGGAATGTGCGTGATAGACAAGTCCAAGATCAATGCCAAGAGATCAACGCTCTTATGCATAGTCTGGGTGTTTGAATAATAGGCCCAGTATCTGGGGGCCAATGAGTGTTCAGAGAAAACTCATAAGGTCAGAAGCTAAAGTGGGGAATGGAGCCACTACAGTTGAGTGCTTGCTGACTTCTGAGAACTGGGCTGGGCTCCTTGGATCTTCACAACAGCTCTCTGAAGGAGTATTATTATCTTCATTTTATACATTTAAAATTGAGCCTTACAGATTAAGAAAGTTATGCAAAGTCATACAGTTTGTAAAGGGTAGAGCTGAATTTTGACCAGGCTAATGTCCTTCAAATGAACTAGCTGCCTTCTACCAACAACCAAGAGAATGTCCTTAGCCTTCTTGTGGTTTAGGCAAAGTTTAGCCCTACAAAGGCCAAATGACAGTGCATCAGCTTTACTTTGCATTATAAATATATCCTGACCTGTTATATCATGACCTGCTTACTTTTCACATCAGAGCATAGCTGTAGATTTAATTTTCCATTGATTTACCTTCAAGAGCTAACAGCATCTAAATATAACTTGGCAGCACTTCATCAATCTCCCCACCCTGGTGCTGAAACACAGCCTTGGGTTGTATTTTTTTTGTTTGGGAGGTTAACATTTATTTTTGTTTTTGTTTTGTTTTATTTTCCTGTTGCTCCTCGTTTTTTGTGGGAGGTTTGTTTTGTTTGTTTTCTTTCCAAAGTGAGAAACTCTAAAGGTCATTTTGACATTACAGTAGAGAAAAGAGCTTGCTTATGTGACTTCCCATAACAACACTATAGAAATAAAATATACTCAAAGTACTCCATTCTATGATGGGGACACCTTAACTACCAGTTCCTATGACCTACACAGCAACATCATCCCCTGGTTAGAAATCAGTCATAGAGACACCTGGAAAACAAGCGAAAGAACCCACCTCTTCATCCTTCTGCCCTCCCTCTCTCCCTTTCTTCCTTCCCACTAGCAAGACATGAATTGAGTATCTAATTGTTACAAGTATGAAGACTCATACTCCCTTGAAGTATTATGTAGACTTGTTGGCTGGCAGAATCTTAGTAGGTTATATAGACACATACCCCACGCTGTGGAAAAATATCCCAGTTAAGAGATTTGTCTGGGAGTGTGCAATTTTCATTTGCCATGAAGTGCAAAATGAAGAGAGGGACTTTCATAAACATTTTATAATACAATATTATAATTACTTCCCAGACGTCGTCCCATTTCCTTCCGCCTTCCAACACAATACTGTGACCATCTATATTCATATGACAAAAGGCAAGTAGGGGAAGAGGGTCAAGGGAACCCTGGCAAGGAGAGAGAGCTTGCCACCACACTCCTCACCATTTGTCCTGAAAGACTTTGAATCCTGTCTGACCTAAAGGCTTCATCTTATCTTTCGTGGTCCCAATAGGCATCCGCGGCCCCAAGATCAAGCTTCACAAATCTTCAAGTTAGATATCATATAGGAAGACATATACATTCTTCATCTTTCCAACTTTGTTCATAGTTGGGGGGTGGGAGGGCCATAACTGACCCTAAACAAGCCCATCCCCAGGCCCTAACATAGAATTCAAATGCAGCTAGAGATGAATGAAACAAATAAAAGCCATTATGCAGACAGCTGGCCATTCAAAGCCTGTGTACTTTAGCTGTCAGCAAGTTGCCTGACTCTTCAGGCCCCCTTATAATTAAGACCAGGCTCTGTACAGTTATCCACAGGACCATGTGCCAGGAACTGAGTCAATCTTCACAATAGGAGATGGGGAGATGAATCACAGGGGATCCTGGCCTTCACAGAGCACAGGACCAGGAAAAGGCGGAGGAAAAAGCATGTCCCAAGGCTGAATTCTCAGGGAAGAGTAGGGCCTGTGTCATAGACAGTACCAGACAAGGGCTGTGTACATGTGGAAAAAGGTGCACTCCCTTCCACTTAAACTAGGCTGCAGAAGATGGGGCTTTGACCATGGAGGCTGACAAAGAAGGCTCATGCTTGCAAATACTAGTTAGATCATTTCCCCCTCTTCTAAGCGCCTGGCATTTTCTGCAGTTCTTACATCACTTGAAAATTACTTCTCCCCAACACTCTTCTGAGTCACCCACCAGGCCTGAATTGGTTGCATCCTCAGGCTGATACAAGCAGCCAAGGGAATCCACACACTGCTCTTTGCCCTCACGATGCCCCTGCCTGTCCTCTTCAACATAGGGCTGCTATTCTTCCTTGTCATGTTCATCTACTCCATCTTCGGCATTGCCAGCTTCCCCCATGTAAGCGGGGAGGCTGGCATCGATGACATGTTCAACTTCCAGACCTTCGCCAACAGCATGCTGTGCCTCTTCCAGATCACCACACAAGCTGGCTGGGATGGTCTCCTCAGCCTTATCTTCAACACAGGACCCCCTTTCTGTGACCCCAATCTGCCCAACAGCAATGGCTCCTGGGGGAACTGTGGGAACCCAGCGATGGGCATCCTCTTCTTCGCCATGTACATCATCATCTCCTTCCTCATCGTGGTCAACATGTACACTGCTGTGATTCTGGAGAACTTCAATGTGGCCACGCAAGAGAGCAGTGAACCTTTGAGTGAGGATGACTTTGACATGTTCTATGAGACCCGGGAGAAGTTCGACCCAGAGGCCCCTCAGTTTATTACCTTTTCTGCCTCTCAGCCTTTGCAGACACCCTTTCAGGCCCCCTGCGAATCCCAAAACCCAATCGGAATCTATTAATCCAGATAGACCTACCCTTGGTCCCTGGAGATAAGATTCACTGTTTGGACATTCTTTTTGCCTTCACTAAGAATGTTCTGGGAGAATCTGGGGAGTTGGATTCTCTGAAGGCAAATATTGAAGAGACGTTTATGGCAAATAATGTTTCAAAAACATCTTATGAACCAACAGCAACCATCCTCTGGTGGAAGCAGGAAGACATTTCAGCTACTGTCATTCAAAAGGCCTATCGGAGCTATGTGTTACACCACTCCATGACAATCTCCAACCCCCCAGGTGTGCCCAGGGCTGAGGAGGAGGCTGTGTCACCCCCAGGTGCAGCCTTTGTTGTATTCATGGCAAATGAAAATTGCACACTCCCAGACAAATCTGAAACTGCATCTACCACATCTTTCCCACCATCCTACGACAGTGTCACTAGAGGCCTTAGTGATCGAGTCAACATGAGCACATCCAGCTCAATGCAGAATGAAGATGAAGCTACCAGTAAGAAAGCAACTGTCCCTGGGCCCTAGTGAGGACACTCCAGCATGGACCTAACCAGTTCTGATGTGACCTTCTGCTCTGTGGTAACTCTTTCCCACTAAAGGTGGCACCCAGTTACCACCTCATCAATGCATGCCACCGGTCACAGTGTCAGAACTAGGCAGAGAATGCATTTGGTGCCCACCTTTGGAGAAGCCCTCAAAACCAACAGGAGTCAGAAGCCAAGAGCATCTCCACTGTGACAACCCTTTTGAATTTCAATATCCAGCGATGTATTCTCTTACTTTCCAGAAAATGTCTCTGGTCCTTTTATTTTAATTGTGACCAGAGTCTCCATTTATTGTGATAAACTTCTCAGGACCAGAACTTCCAAAGATACATGGCAAGGATGTTGCTGAAGGTCCAAGTTAGTCCTCTGTGAAACACCACACTGAGATTGACAATGTTATTTAGGATTCTGCATGACTGCATGTTGAGACCTGCCAGACAATTGTTCCTGCCCAAGGTAACCTGTGGTCTATGTCATGAAAGGCTTTTGAGATATCCATTAAAATTAATATTTGTAAAGGTATATCAAGACCAATGTAACATCTTAAAGAATCATTTTTAAAAGTTGTGTGATGCTGACATTGTGTCATAAATCACTTCTTCATTTCCAGCATTACTGATATTATTTTGCAGTTTGAGCTTGAATCTGGATGGAGCAGGAAGGAGCACTGTCCTGAAAGTTTGTTCTAATCCTAAGTATTCCACCAACTGCCATGCTGCCTGCACCACACTCTTTCCCCTCTGAACCTCAGTTTCCCCACTTGTGAAAGTGGTGGGAGGTGGGAGACAAAACGGACACTCTCTATAGCCCTTCCATTTCTTGTTTTAGAACAACTCTTCGGTGCTCTGCACCAATTTAGATAAGGAAAACACTCTCTCCTGAAGTTACAATGGCCAGACTTTCCTGCTATGTAGCTAAAGAGGTAGCTTTTGGATACATTCCAGAACCTGTTTCACATCTCATAGTCAGGCTTTAAGAAGGATGGTTTTCACATTCTCCTTGGGCCAAGATTCCAAAATTAGTATAATCAAAAGAAAAGGGACATTATGAAAAAGATGATCTGAAAGATAAAATGGATTTCAATATTTTCTTAAATACATCCTGCAAATGTTATTAAGTACCTATTATATGACAGGCACACTCTAAGCACAAGAGATAATGGAAACTAAGCCCCAAATGATTAATTGGATTTATGCAGTGAGTGGAGAAAGGGTTGTCAGAAAAGAATATTCAGGCCGAAGAATGTGGTGGGTTGTAAGATGAAGGAGAGCAAGGAGTTTGTGTGACAACATAGGACGTAAAAGATCATAATGACAGCCATGATCTTCTATCAGCCCTTGGGACATTTCCTGCCACAATAACAAGGATCGGGTCAATTTGTTGACATATATTTGATCACTTCATAAGATTTCCCATTTGTATAATGACAAAGCCTAGTGACTAGTCCACCACACATGCCTCATGGGTACAGATTTTCTGAGGTCTTGGTCTCCTTTCTCTGTCATTGTTGGCCCATCAGAGGCTGAAAGGCTGTCAAGATGTTTGTTGGGGTTTGTCAGCACCCAAAGATGTAGGTTAATAAGACAATGATGGAACAGCTGAGGGCTGGGCTGTCCCAGTACAAGTCAGATGTTCTCCAGGTGTGTGGTTTGTATCTTAAGGATGAGTTCAACAAAATGGCTCTTCCTCATGGGTTGCACTGAACAAAGGAGCACAGATATCGATGGTGCTGCTTCTTCAACATCAAAATCCCATGCAGTCAATGAAAATGCCATCTAAGACAGCTGGATGGACAGAGAGCTTGGGGACTGGCTTATTTTTATGTTATGTGGAAGAATTAAATGTACCCAATCATCAGACTAGTTTTATTAAGTAGATGATATTATTCTCAAAGAGATTCTTGATACATTTTTTGTCCCAGGCTGTAAGTTGAATTGTGCACCACCCCCCGCCCCCACCAAAGAAAAAGTTCTGTTGAAGTTCTAAACCATGCTAATAATGGTCACATGCAAATGGGACCTTATTTGGAAATAGAGTGCAGATGAATCAATCAAATAAAACACAGTCATACAGGATTTAAGTGGAGTAAGTGGGCCCTAATCCAATGATAAATGTCTTTAAAACATGAGGGAAATTTGGACATAAACACACGGGGAGAAGAATGCCATGTGAACACACACGCAGAGTGAGAAGGCAGCTTTGTGAAGACAGAGGCAGAAGTTGGAGTGATGTGGTTGCAAGCCAAGGAATGCCAAGTATTGCTGGCAAGTAAAAAAACTAGAAAAGAGCAAAGAAGGATTCTTCTCTGGAACCTTCAGAGACAGCATAGCCCTATCAATACCCTGATTTCAGACTCTGGCCTCCAGAACTGGGATAGAATACATTCCTATTATTTTAAGCCACCTAGTTTGTAGTACTTGGTTATAGCAGCTAGCAAACTAACATGCCCCACATTTACTTCCATACAGATGCATTTCCCAAATTATGATGGCAGCCACTGGAAAAGTGACGCAATATGCACAGCTTGCATTGCCCAGAGTTTTCAGAAATTTATTTAGTGCAAATGCAGGCTTAGCCCTTGAAAATTTCACTAGATCTAGTTTCAAAGTTCAGCTGGTGGTCCAATTACAAGAGAGGAGCAAATCTGAGAGGTCCAGGGCAGATGGAGGGTCAGAGCTAGCTTCTCAGCCTCACCGCTAGGAGATGGCACTGGAATCTCTCTGACCCAGATTATATGAGTCTACCTGAATGCTGAAGGCAAACAAGAGGCAGAACAGTTGTCTGACTGTATAAATATCTGGAACCTGCAGGATCCTTAAAATGTCTCCACCATAAACACTACCCTGACTTTTTTTTGTTAAGATTTTATTTATTTATTTGACAGAGAGAGAGAGAGCACAAGCAGGGGGAGTGGCATGAAATACCTTATCCTTCTAATGGGTTTAGGGCATGAAAATTTCCCAAGGACACCCCACTCCAGCTCAGGAAGCGGAGGAGGCCACGTCCTGTAAGGTCACCGCCATGGCCCGGACTGTGGTTCTTCTCAGGTGCCTCACTAAAGGCTCTGGTCAGATGAAGGGACTCTGCAACTGTGGTGGGACACATAACAACAGTGTCTCAGGGTGACGCTTGTCTCCCATAACAGCGCTCGTCTCCCTTTGGTTTTAGGGGAAGGTTGTCAGATTGTGGTGACCCAGGAGCCATCACTGGTAGTGTCTCTAAGAGGGATGGTCATACTCACTTGTGGTCCTAGGCTTGGGTAAGTCTCTACCAGTAACTGCCTTGACTGGTACTAGCAGACCCCAGGCTGGTTTCCCCAGCCCCTTATCTACCGGATAAAGAACCATCCCTTTGAGGTCCCTGATCACTTCTCTGGATCCATCTCTGGGAACAAAACCACCCTTACCATGGCTGGGGCTCAGCCTGAGGATGAGGCCAACTATCACTGTGCTATGTGGGTAGTTGTGTGTACGGAGAGATTCAAATCTATGGGAGAGTGCAGCCAGAACTTCTCACGGGCTCAGAATGGCTCAGCCCTTAGAGGCAGGAGAGAACATGACAGGGCGGATAGTTAATACCACCATGGGAAGTGAGACTCTCTGGCCCCATTTTCCTGTCCAGTGGTCCATCACCATGTGCCCCATTCCATCTCTCCCAGGGTGTGTCCATCTCTCCAGTGTGATCCTCCAAGACTGGGATTCCTCTCTCATTGCTTAGATTGATGGGGAGGGGGCTCAGATCCAAAATATATCCCCAGACAATGAGACTCATTTACCTCACTGCTCCTTGTGAGATGCTCCTTATTCAAGTGCATCAACAAACATGCCTTCAGAAGTATATTGCAATGTGGGCCTCAAGAAGCAAGAAACGTCTCATATACACAACCTGAAATTATACCTAAAGAACCTTGAAAAAGACCAGCAAATGAAGCCTAAATCAAGCAGGAAAGGGGAAATAATAAAGTTTAGAGCAGAAATCAAGATATAGAAATAAAAATAAAATAAGTAGAACAGATCAATGGAACAGGAGCTTGTTCTATGAAAGAATTAACAGACTTGATAAACCCCTGGCCAAACTTATCAAAAAGAAAAGAGAAAGGACCCAAATAAATAAGATCATGAATTTGGGTAATGTCCAGAGCAGAAGGGCGGGCTGGGCTGTGTGCTGTGAGGTGGTAATGATTTCCTCAACTGCTGGGGGGGCCTGAAGGCTGGCCTCGCAGGTAAGTGGCTTGGCCTGGTGTTAAGTCCTGTTTTACCAGGCTGGTTAATGGGCCCGAGGAGCGTGACCGGGCTAATGGAATGTGCGGGTGGCTGCTGGTGGGTTAGGGACCGCTAAGGCAACAGTGACCCCAGGAAATAAAATAGCAAGCAGGCGGGAAGGTCCTGCACGTGAGAGTCCCCGCTTCCATCTGGATACGAGGAAACCACTGGCTGCCAATTCATTCAAGGAGACTCATGAGCACTGATGACACGCCGTGCTTCCCGGGAGACTCCTGGTAGTTAGAGCCAATATCCCTGAAGATATTGGCCCATGTCTGCCCCCCGTGGCCCCCACCTCCACCGACCTCTTCTGCTCACGTGCACCCCAGGCTTTGAAAGCAGGTCTTTTCTTGGTCATTAGCAGCAGCGTGGGAAGTGCTCCACACCCTTGCTCAGCGGCAGCACTCCGTGGCTCCCTGGCTCCCCTCCAAGTCCCACCACTTCTGGAAAGGCCTCTGCTCTCCTCCATCCTCCTGTCTCAGAAGGGGGTCAGAGGGCATCCCCCAAACGGTGTCACAGAAGATCCTTCTTGCCCCTCGACATCCTTGCGGCTTCAGAATGTGTGGCTCAGGGACCGCATCCCTGCTCTCTCCACCTCCCACCACAGAGCAGGCTGTGCCTGGGGCCTGCTGGGGTCACGGGGCAGCAGACGGGCAGCAGCTTGACCCGGCCTATCCCAGGAGTGGTGCTGACCAGAACAAGTGGCTCATTTGCTCCC